TACCTCTCTCCACTTCTACTTTCTTAGAACAGCCCCTTACAACTCAACTGCAACCCTAGCAACAATAAGCAGGCCAGCAGCCCTGTGGATGGAAAAACTTCCCCTTATAGCTAGTTGCTAGCCAACATTTCTTATACTACATGCCCTATGAACTTGGGGAATAGTGCGGTCTTCACACTATGACATACTATTGTTTTCTCTCCAGGGGAGAAAAACAAAGGAGTTTTCAACTCTGCTATACTCACCCTTGACATGCATTTACCCTATACTCCTCAGCTCCTCCCACTCTCACTGGCCATTCTGTGAAAACCACAAGTAGGCAGTTTGGCTGAAGTCAGATCCATCAAGCGAAAATCAAATTAAAAAAAGGGTTAAGGAAATATTTAAGTCTCAACAAAGACTTTTTCTTTTTTGTTTAAGGAGCAAATACAATAATCTGCACCAGAAAATTGGTATTCAGAAGCAAGGGATCTTTGCTTGCCTTCATAAATGGTGTATAAAAGGATTTGGAATCAGAGATTTATCTATTTTCTCTAATTGTAATATTTTACTACTAATTGTTATCCTATAGAACTCCTATAGACTTTAATTCAAGATAAAAGAGGTAAATCTTGCAATTTAATCAAGCAGGGTTAGTTATGAAGTTACTAAAGAGTATCTTGTTAAAATCACCCTCTGGAAGGGCATTTTAATACTGCCTTATAAGGAGGCAGTTTCCCTCTACAGATTTTGAGCATACGGCAAATGAAATTAGTATGAAAACAACTTTCTGGTGGGGTGTGGGTGGCTCATGCTTGTAATCCCAGCACTACGAGAGGCCAAGGTGGGAGGATTATTTGAGCCCAGGAGTATCTTGTCTCTACAAAAAAAAACACAAAAATTAGCCAGACCAGGTGGTGCACACTTGTGGTCCCAGGTACTTGGGAGGCTGAGGCAGAAGGATCACTTGAGCCTAGGAGGTCAAGGCTTCAGTGATCCATCTGTGTTCACACCAGCGTATGCCAACCGGGGCAACAGCCTTGCCTCAAAAAAAGAAAAATGAACTTTGTATGTTAAGATTTACACTGATGATTTAAAGTAATAAATGGATAAAATGGATAAATATTTACATTAGGAAACTTTCTGGGTAGGGAAAATTCTTTATTTTGATTAGGGATGGTAGTTTTATGAGTATATATATTTAAGAAAAATTCATCAAATTGTACACTTAAGATCTCTGCATTTCACTGTGTTTAAATTTTACTTCAATAAAAATTTAAATTATGAAAAGGTGAGTCAAGTTGGCTAAATAAAATTTATAGGAGGTACTCATTGCGGACTATGCCCCTGCACTAGACCCCAATAATCCAGACCAAACTAGAATGGAGTCACTCGCACTAGGTGTCATGTAATCAAACTGAACTGAGACATGAGCTAGTTTTCCAAAAACCAGAAGATTTCACAGCAACGAATAATAAGGGTCCCAGTCAATCTGAGCTGGCATAATAAGAAAGTATCTTCTGCTTTAAGCCACACAAGGAGAGTAACTTGAAGTAACCTGATGCTAACCAACCTAGTTTTTTTGCACAATGCTGTTTCCTTCTTCCTACTGGAGCTGCCTTACAAAAGCTGATCATTCTGCTAATCCCAGTAGAGCACCCTTCTATTTCATAGATAAGATGCTGCCAGATTCATGAATCACTAATAAAAGCCAATTTGATCTTTAAACTCGATTTGTTGAAAATTTCTTCTCTAAAAACTAAAAAACAAACAAACAAACAAAAAAAAACAAAAAAACAAAAAAAAAAACTAACTATATTAATAGTACTGAAAATGGCAAAATGGTGATGGAATACCTGAATGATTCAAGTCTGGGGGACACTGGAATATGGAAAGGTGAATAATGCCCACAAAGTAGAATACAAAAGGAAATTAAATGAGTTTTGAAGCCTGACTGTGACTCTTCCCAAGGGGTTCTGCTCCTTGCTATTCTTTTCTGAGATTTCTCTCTGCCTAGGGCTAGAACCCAGCAGTAGGAATCTGCTATAATATATTTATCTTCTGGGAAGGATGCATATAAAGCTAAATAAATTAAGTGAGTTGCAGTACATGAATTCCATATTAATAGCAAGCTTAGCAATTAACACAAATATCCAGACATCTAGTCATAAAATGTAAGCAACTTATCCTGTTAATTGGGCTAATGAAAATTTTCTGCTTGTTACGGAAATTTTTGTAATAACTTTGGAGAGAAATACTTTTTATCAGAAAACATAATAGCTGAAATTCCTCATATTGAAATGTATAAATCAAGAAAGTGGTCCTTAATTTTGTTGTTCAAATAGTAACTTAAGTTATTGGTATTAATAAGTTTTAGGGAAAAAGATACACATAATTTCTGTATGTAAGCAAAAAATTAAAAAATAGATCCTTTTCCAGTTAGTAATAATATCTGGGATAGAGTTAATTAGAAATATGTAAAATTCTCTATTGAAAAAACGAAATAAAAATGAATAGAGAATCAAACTGTGTTTCTACATGGATGCATTTAATATTTTAAACATGAAATTTTTCCCTAAATTGGTTCATAGATTTTTTTTACCTCGTGTTATAGCAACAACAACAAGTTATGATGTAAACTGGCAACAACATCTTTATTATACTAATACTTGTCAATGACAATTATGGCATTTGCAAGCACTGATGATGAGAACACTTCAACATAATCCTTCTACTGGAAAATGTCCTTAAAAAAACAATTCAACAAATAGGGTAGGAGAGAAAGCTATACTGATGAAGCTTTTCATCACTTTTACCAACAACAATAGAAGAAAGGTTAAGTGAATTGTGAAACATATTTTATATTAATGAAAAAGCAGTCTTTCAAAGCATGTCAAAAAAAAAACACTGAATGCCCCAAAAGAGACAATTTTACTATATAAATACAGAAAAAGAACTAAAAAACATTTAAAAGGAAAATCAGAAAATGTTTGTAACATATTGACAAATTATTAATAACTAATAAGAGTGTACATGCCTACAAATCAATCAGAAAAAATATAAGCCCAAGAAAAAATGGGTAAGGGTATAATTAGGCAATTTTCAGAAGAAAACCTAGGCAAATACCATTGAGGAAATAGGCATGGGCAAAGACTTCATGACTAAAACACCAAAAGCAATGGCAACAAAAGTCAGAGTTGACAAATGGGATCTAATTAAACTAAACAGCTTCTGAACAGCAAAAGAAACGATCATCAGAGTTAACAGGCAACCTACAGAATGGGAGAAATTTCTTGCAATCCATACATCTGACAAAGGGCTAATATCCAGAATCTACAAGGAACTTCAACAAATTTACAAGAAAAAAACAACCATCCACATCAAAAAGTGGGTGAAGGATATGAACAGACACTTCTCAAAAGAAGACATTTATGCAGGCCAACAAACATATGAAAAAAAGCTCATCATCACTGGTCATTAGAGAAATGCAAATCAAAATCACAATGAGATATCATCTCACGCCAGTTAGAATGGCGATCATTAAAAAGTCAGGAAACAACAGATGCTAGAGAGGAGGTGAACACTTTTACACTGTTTACACTTTTACACTGTTGGTGGGAGTATAAATTAGTTCAACCATTGTGGAAGACAATGAGGGGAATCCTCAAGGATTTAGACCCAGAAATACCATTTGACCCAGCAATCCCATTACTGGATATATACCCAAAGGATTATATATAATTCTACTATGAAGACACATGCACATGTATGTTTATTTATGCACTGTTTACAATAACAAAGACTTGGCCCATGGCACTGACCCTGAGAACAGTACTGCCTTTGTTAAGAAAAATTGGTACAAATAAAGCAATATATAGAAACATTTAGTTATTATCTTTATAGTCTTTGATTCTAAATATCATTTAGCAAAGATTAAAATAAACCTATCCACATTAACAATACTGCACTACTTCACGTATTCCTGTCTAAATCTCCAGATGAACACACAAAACCTATATCCTTTCTTTTATAAAGGGCAACCTTGTTTTCTATGATACTGAATTCCTCTCTGCAAAGGAGCTGAACAATATTCAGCCAGTGAACAGCCAAGATTCCTTTTATAAGCCAAAAAGCAAAAAGATAAAACAACACCTGATTTTAGAAGAACTCATAAAATGTACATATTCAGAATACAAAAATGATGCCCATCCTTTGCCTAATCATCTGTAGATACATGCCCAACATCCTTTTCTGTTCCTCGAGGTTACACTTGACCTTCCCTGGATCTGCTCTGCTTCACCACTCAACATGGGAAATCTCACCATAGGCTTTTCGTTCTCTCATAATTCCTTTTATTGTGGCACTAGTATATGTCCACAAGTATTTGTTTTAGGCACCAATTCTTTCTCTTTATTTAGTGGTAAGAACATCATCTCTTGAGGAGAATGTCAAGGTTCATCCTATCTCAACCAAGTTTTTGACAATAAGTAGAGTTAAACAACTCTCTGAATACAATATTCAGAATAATGTATTACATTTTAATAATTCTTTAAAAATGCTGCTGACAATTTTCATTTAAAACATTCCAGGTTCAGAAAATTCATTAAGATGACTGATACTGTTCTCTACTTAAGTTTAAGGTAGATGCCATGTTGAGCAGTAAATTCTACTTAAATTTTCTATGAGACTGTGTACACACATTACAGTAATATAGTATATAAAAATATTTTAGTATATGAGTATGTATATGAAATATAATTTAAGTAAAAGCACTCATTGACTTGTTTACTTACAGTTCTCTATTGTTCTAATTTCTGATAGTCCTATAACATTAATATAAGTAACCATAAATATTAATTTCCTCATATTAACCTAAGAAAGGAAACATACTGAAGTAACATTTAGAAGAAAAAGTGGATTGTATGTCATTGTTTGTTTTTAAATAATTTAATTTTCTTTAAAGAATAGTGTTAAATGAAATTTGAAGTTTGTGTATTTTATATAATAAAACACAATCTTACCCCTTTCTTGGCCAGTGCAGCAACTTTGTCATGTGTTCTGGATTTATCTGTAAGACAATGAAACATGGCTGCTTCAAAAAAGTGCCTATGTTCCCATTCAAATAAATACTGAGTTACACAATTAGAATTTTCTACTTTCTCATTACTATTATAACATTATTTTGTTCCAGTTGTCCCTTTAATTAATATGCTAATAAACTGAGCTTCCCATTGTTTAGTAGAGCAATGCAATCCAAAAGTAATAATACGAACATTTTTATATTTATTTGGCAAATTTCTTCGCTTAAAGTTGGTTAGTTGGATATCCTCAAGTTGTCTAGTATATCTGATTTCTAGGTTCTGGGGAGCTTGTGTGCTCTGGAGTATATAGGATCTAAAATTGAATCCTAGCTGCCTCCATTTTCATATCTATCTATTATATGCTGGACATGGGACAAGGACTTTATATAGATATCTTATTTAATTATCATTATAACCTTGTAAAGTACGCAGCCTCGCCTCACTTCACAGCTGAGGTAAATAATGTATCCTGCTTGAGGTCATGCAGCTTGGCCAGAACCATCTGATCACAAGCCTCTTTTCCAGAATGTCTGTTGTCTCCATTTGGGACCACTGAGCTACCAATAGTGCCTCAGAGAAAGACTCAGCAAGAATGGAAACTACTAGTACATTTTCTCATTATACTACTCCTAAATTTAGTACATTTTCTCATTATTCCACTCCTAAAAACAGAATAATTAGTAACCAAATAGTTCATAAAAAACTATCCCAGGATATTATTCTGAGATATGCTAAAGCAGGTATGTGTGTATATGTACCTATTGGTTACGACTGTTGTCATAAAATATAGAAACTCAGAGGAACAGGTTACTATATTCATTCCTACAACTGGCTGGGACATGTAAACTATCCTCTTTCCTATATCCAGCTGTATACTTGAGATGATCCCTCTTTCTGGAACACCCTTTCTCTCCACTGATGAACGTATAAGGTTATGTGCCACTACAGATATTCCTCTGATTAGGATAAAACTCCACCTCTTTTGCAAAATCATAGTCATATTAAGCCATGAAACTTTCTTCTTTGTATTATGGTTAGTTACGAACATGTCTAAGTATTCTGTGACTTGAATATTCCTCAAAAGCAGGGACCACATTTTATATGCAGTAAGTGTTCAATATTACTAATAAATAAAAATGTATATGTATTTCATCCAAAATCTCCTATGAATCTGAAATGTATATTTTACCTGAAAAAAATTACTCTAATGTATTAATTAACATATATTGATCATTTACTTGGTATCAGCTACTATATTAGACAGTATAAGATATAAAACAATGCACATGCTCTTAGACTCTCTTTATTTATAAACCAGGGGTAATAATTATTTTTCTTAAACTTTTAGTTTCAAGGGTACATGTACTTATTTGCTATACAGATACATTGTGTCTTGCAGGGTTTGATGTACATATTATTTTATCACCCAGGTAGTAAGCATAGTACCCAATAGGTAGGTTTTCAATCCTCACCCTCTTTCCACCCTCCACTCTCAAGTAGGCCCCAGTGTCTATTGTTTCCTTTTTTGTGATCACGTGTACTCAATGTTTAGTTCTCACTTATAAGTGACAACATGCAGTGCTTGATTGTCTGTTCCTACATTATCTTGCTTAGGATAATGACCTCCAGTCCCAACCATGTTGCTGAAAGGACATTATCTTGTTCTTTTACATGACTGCATAGCATTCCATAGTGAATATGTACCATATTTTCTTTATCCAGTCTACAATTAATGGGCGTCTAAGTTAATTTCATGTCTTTGCTATTGAAAATAGTGCTGCAATGAACATATGTGTGCATATATCTTCATGGTAGAATGATTTATATTTCTATGGGTATATATCCCAAAAATGGGATTCCTGGGTCAAATGATGGTTCAGTTTTAAGTTTTTGAAAAATTGTCAAACTGCTTTGCACAGTCACTGAACTAAATTACATTACCACAAGTAGTATATAGCATTCCCTTTCCTCTGCAACCTCGCCAGTATTTGTTATCTTTTGACTTTGTATTAATAACCATTCTGACTACTGTGAGATACTATCTCATTATGGTTTTGATTTGCATTTCTCTAAGGGCCAGTGATGTTGAGCATTTTTTCATATGCTCATTAGCCACATATATGTCTTCTTTTGAAAAGTGTCTGTTCATGTCCTTTGCCCACTTTTTAATGGGGTTATTTTTTGCTTATTATAAATGCTGGACATCAGACCTTTTTCAGATGCAGAGTTTGCAAATATTTTCTCCCACTCTGTGGACTGTCTATTTACTCTGTTGATAGTTTCGTTTGTTGTAAAAAGCTCTTTAGTTTAATTAGGTCCAGGAGTAAAAATGATTACCTCACTAGTATATTGTGAGATTTAAATAGAATAAGCTACTTAATTAAAACTCCTAAAACAATGTCTGAAAATCAACAAATATTCACTTCCATTTTAGCTAATAGACGTGTGTGTGTGTGTGTGTGTGTCGGTGTATGTGTGAAAGAGACAGAAAGAAAGACAGAGATCTTGATCTTTGGAATACTAGGAAAAACACTTTAGTGATTATATATTTCACTACTGTATCATCTTTTTAGGTGACTCTACCATTCTTCCATCTAAATAATTATTTTCATCTTTTTAACATAGTTAGAAATAATTGATGAGTAATAATAAAATAGCAACATGTTTCAAGAAATAGGAAAAAATAAGATCACAAAAATTTCATAGTATATTTTGGGATTAATGATGTGTAAAGGGCCCGGTAGAACCTTATAGTAATAAAAAGATACAATAAATTTTGTTGTATCTTAAAAAAAGTAAACTTACTCTTTGTTCTTTTGAAAATCTCTAATAAGGATAGAAGTCATGATGAAATATCAATCATTAAAAATAGTTAAAATTGAACAAAAAGAAACTCAAAAACTAAAATTGGAGTCTATGTATCTGGATGGGACAGAGAGAGTTAACCAAAATGGATGTTTGCTATGTTTCCTGTCAAAATATACCTCATTCTTACATAAATTTGCTAACATGGCAATGAATTGGGAACAGAAATATGTGAACTGTTGTTCAAGGAGCTTTTTATGCTCAAAAGTTATAAAAACCATCTTCCAATAAAAGTAGAGTATCTTGGGGAGTATCAAAAACCACATTGATTTTCAAATGCCTAAGGAAAATTCTTACGTAATATTTGAAACATTATGATCAGTAGTAATTTCTTTATTAATAATAACAGTAGGTCTATGTTCAACTTCAGCAGAAATTAACAACCTTCTAAAAGCTAAATTTTCTCTTGTGAGAAAGATTTAATTTCCTTCCTTCAGAAATCTCTGCATGGAGGGACTCTCACCATAAAGAGTGAAAAGCAGTTAACAGGAAATGTAGATGTGGATAATGAAAAGGGCCTTCACTCCTCCTTTGAGCTATATCCAAGTCATATTTTTAAAGTGCAAAAGAGGAGCTGCTGGTAGTAAATGAAAATGTTCTAAATGAGTAGAGGTGGTTATGACTCATGACCCAGAACAGATGTTACTGATTTTTTACTTACAACTATATTAGGGAGAAATACAAATATTAACATAATTCAATGATTTCTCTTCTTTAAATAATTTTTTTTTTTTTTTTTTGCTTTGGTTTTCCTCAGTTAAGATTTTCACCTATCCAAAAGACCTACATTTAAGTATTTCTCTCCCGGGTTCCCGCCATTCTCCTGCCTCAGCCTCCCGAGTAGCTGGGACTAAAGGCGCCGCCACCTCGCCCGGCTAGTTTTTTTTTTTGTATTTTTAAATAGAGACGGGGTTTCACCGTGTTAGCCAGGATGGTCTCGATCTCCTGACCTCGTGATCTGCCCGTCTCGGCCTCCCAAAGTGCTGGGATTACAGGCTTGAGCCACCGCGCCCGGCCTAAATAATTTTTTTAAACCTTGTGTGTTCATGGACTCTGAAAAATTTGTCAGTTTTTGTTTGTTTAATTGTGATAGCTGAGAGCATTTTCGTAAAAATGTAGAGGACATTCAGTTTCTGGTCTGGAATGTAAGGAGCTTAGAAGGTTGCCACTAGAGTCCAACAACATGTACAAAGGTGAGCAAAATGAAAAATGAACAACTCTTTTCAGATCCTTTGGAGAAGTGAGGTCACCGGGAAAACTGATGTCCCCAAATTTGGAGAAAAAGACAGGTAAATACAGAGAATCACAACCCACCTGAGCAGGGTGGAAACTAGTATAGGGGTAGGAAAACATGAACTTCAATTGACAAACTTCTAGAAACTCTGTGGGAACAAGCCTGAGACAAAAACTCCAGGGGGACCTAGTTATGGTGGGAGGGGCACACACTTTTGTTGAGTTTTACCTGAAGGAGCTCTACCAGGTTCTCGCAGAGAAGATTAGGGAAATATCTCCTGGTTCCATCAAGGGGAGGAGAAAAGTAATCATTTTGAAATAATCAGATCATTCTGTACTTCTTAGCAAGGCCTGCCCTGAGGAGAAACTATTTTACCAGAGCCTAACCTATTGAGGGATTTTCAAAGCCTAACCCCAGCCTGACCTGGGGGAAACAAAATACCCAACTCCAGCCCCTTCTAGCCATCCTTTACCACCTATGTAGGTGAAGAAAATAAAAGGAAGTTGGAGGAAAGCCCTTATGAAGTTTACAGCCTAGGACTGAGACTTTATGATAGGAACATAGAATGCTTTCCCTTCCCCTCATGTTTTACCACTGTACTGCTAAACTATCATGATTGCAGTTATTTTACCCAGAACATCATGCCCACCTTTCAATAAAAATTTATAAGGCATACTAAAAGGCAAAAAAGAAAATTTGAAGAGAAAGAGCAAGCAGCAGGACCAGATCAAGATATGGCAGGGATGATGGGATTATCAGCTCGTGAATTTAAAACAACTATGATTAATATGCTAAAAGCTATAGTGTTAAAAGTAGACAACATGCGAGAACAGATGAGCAATGTAAGTAAAGAAATGAAAATTCTAAGAAAGATTCATAAGAAATACT